AGGCAGATTTCCGCCCAAGACGTGGCTGTATAGACCATATATTCACTCTGCGGGAGGTGCTAGAGCAGCGCCACGTATACCACAGATCGACAATAGCTGGGTTCCTCGACCTCAGGAGTGCGTTCGATTCAGTCGATGGATGCATTCTGTTCAAAACACTTGCGCGGAAAGGTGTTCCCGCGAAATATGTGAACGCTTTACGTACTCTTTACTCAAACATTACAGGCCGCGTCAGGGTCTACAGTGACCTGTCGGATAGCATTCCGACAACAAGTGCCGTTCGTCAGGGTTGTCCGACTTCTCAATTTTGTTCAATTTCGTCGCGCACTCTATCATGGAGTGTTCCCTTACGGAATCTGACGATGGCGTTGAGGTGCTGCCCGGGGAAAGGATAGTTGGACTATGCGGGCGATATCATCTTACCTTTTGACGATGATGCGGTGGCACAATTGACGCTGGATAGCTTCTTCGGAGTGGTCCCATTAGTTGGTATGCGCTTCGCAGCTTCAAAGTGCAAAATGTTGCTGCAGGACCACCAGCCACTTGATGACCCCTTGACCCTTGCTAACGAAGAACTCGAAGTGGTTGATCAATTCACTTATCTTGGCAGCTGCATCGGCAACGATGGGCGCATGGAAACTGACGTCCGCTTACGCACAGCAAAGACCAAAACTGCCTTGAACCTGCGGCATCTTTGGCGACAGAAGGGAGTTTCACTCCGTCTGTAAGATCGTGTGCACAAGGCCACAGTGAGGGCCGTTCTGCTCTATGGTAGTGAGACTTGGCCCCTTCGGTCTGAAGATTTGAAGCGCCTTCAAGTCTTTGTCTGCTGGGGTCGGATGGCACCAGCGTGTCCGCAACGATGATGTGCGTAGGCGAGTACTAAGTAGTGATAATCATGCTAGCTCCGTAGAACACCAGATAGCACTGAAGAAATTGCGTTGGCTCGGGCACGTGCTACGTATGCCTGGTCACCGCTTACCTAGGAGGACCTTGTTTAGCCTGCCATGTGTAGAGCGGCGCAAGGCTCGATGTGGATAGAAGTTAACGTGGTAGCGGGAAATGAACTCACTGACGACCAAACTGGGTGCCGTTAGTCCGTCTTGGCTTCCGGGCTGGAGTCCACGTGAGTCGCCTTGTGTTGGGCTCGAGACTTTACAGGACATGGTTCGCAACCGACACCAGTGGCGCGTCTGCTGCGGTCTACTAATCGGATTGCCTGTTTAAAGTGTGTTTGATGCTGAGTTATCTGTGGGGTACTGTCGGACTATGAAGCGGGGCAGTGAAAGCCGCAAGGAAGCTTTCTCGTCGATACCGCCTTATTTTTGCACGATAGCCAGCTGTTTGTGATGGCATGTTGTCTACACAAGGTGTAGGCCCTTTTGACCCTGAATGTTTGCTTAGGGCATTAAGGTTCTCAGGTAAGTCCCGATTACCTCCCTTTATTTTTCTTTATTCCATAGGTCATCATGGTTGTATGGTAGAGGAGCATCAGTTCAAATAGCTGATGTACTGTTGTTGTTTTGCTAGTGTTTTCGACGAAAATCTACCCGGGAAATTACACGATTTAAAGTTAGATACACAGCCGAAGTTTTAAGGAGAACGGAGTTTATCTTTCAGACGCATTCGAAGGTAGAGTTGGAGCGGCTACAAAAAGACGGAATAATATCGCTTATATGCCACTATTTCTGGGTTGCACCCCTCGTTCTGATATAGAAGTTCGATGGTCCAGTCCGCATTTTCAGTGACTACAAACTGACGACTAAACAGGTGAGAATAGCGAAACACTATACATTTCCACGGATCGATGTCCATTAGGCAACGATGCTTGGCGGACAAAAGTGGCTTAGATCATGGTTGAATCGTCTAAACCTGATCAAAGCTACGCATACTATTAGGCAGAGCCTCATAAACCCGTTAGGGAAGCTATAACTACCCACACACAAATGGGATTATTATGCTACGACCGATTACCAGTCGACAATATTTCAAAGAAAAAGAGACTTAGTAAAAAGCACATCTGGATGGTGTTTTGGCTACTGGTCGCATACTACAAACATATGACAAGAATAAAACAGTCCTGACACACCTGCAGGACAGTGAAGTTAAACTCAAGGAATCCAATCGTTGAGTATCTGGGGTTTCGTTTAGATAAACACTGGTTGCATCCACTACGGGGAAAAATTCAACCCATTATGGATTCGCCGACACCTCTTAAGGTTAATGAACTAGTCATTTCCTGGGATGGTGACCCACTATAGTGGCTCCAACCCAATTTGGCTATTATTCTCGCGCCTTTGCAAACTTTGCTTCGGTAGAATACAACGTCGCTGTGGCCAGATGAAAAACAAGTAGTTACGATGCCAGCAGATTGGTCACAAGTAGCACCAATTGGTTAGTGCATTATGACCCAAAGAAACCGATCACTCTCCGATGCGATGCGTCACCCACGGGGATGCACTATCGCATAAAATTGAATATATGAGCTAGAGGCCTCTAGCTCATTTGTCCATAAGCTCGGCACCAATGGAAAAGAACAACGCACAGCTGGACAAGGGGGATTTCGCGGCCATCTTTGGAGTCAATAAATTCCACCAGTAGTTATGGGGGAACGACATACGAAGTCTTTAAGGACTACAAATTTCTATTAACCCTGATTAATGAGGAAGTAACAACCAGAAGGCGTCCCATCGTAGGTAACGTTTGGCTTTATTGCCTTCATCTGGTGAAACAAATAGAAGTACAAACGCTCTGAGTAGCTTGCAGTTGAATCACCTACCAAATAGCTTAATGAAACCTGTGGAACTCGTCCAACTGTTAAAATATTTGGGCAGAAATTCGATGTTAAACGCATATGATCGTCAGCAAACCGAACGAGACATATTACTGGACAAAATTAAGCGTATATTCTTTCAATGATGGCCGACAGGTGTAAACTGCAACTACTACCGTACGTTGCTCGACGCACGGAGCTTAGTTTCGAGCATTGCTGTTTACTGTGAGGATCCAGAGAGAACATGCCACCCCGGTTTAGGCGGCCCATATTACAAAAACTACACGAAACGCACGCAAAAATCTCGAGGATGAAGGGACTCGCGCGATCCTGTGTGTTGTGGCCTGATATCGACAAAGGTATCGAGCAGTTAATTTGACACTGCGACGCATGTCAAAGCACACACAGGAACTCCCCTCCGGTACCACGCAGTAGGTGGAAATGGCTTAATTAACCATGGGAACGCGTACAGGCAGAATTCTTTGACCAGCTCGATGGGAAAATGTTCATCTTTTTGACTGATGCTTAATCGAAATGGAACGTTTTTCAGCTAACACGTGCTACCCCTGAAACGACCGTTTTCTGCTTGCAGACGTCCTTCAGTGCCTTCGGCATACCACACATGTTGGTAATAGACAACGGCTCAGTAGTTACCAGTCGAAAATGTCAAGAGTTCCCAAATAACAAGAGCATACGTCATGTGAAAGCAGCACATTCACGTGGATGGCTTGAAAGGGTAGTCCCGACTGTGGAAAAACAGAAACAAGCGCCGGTATCGCTGCGAACAAAGTTAGACAAATTCCTTTTTGAATAACGCACTACACCAAACAAAATGACTGGGAGAAGCTCAGCCGAGTCAATGTTCGAAAGGAGGTTGATGACACGACTGGACCTTGTTCCCTGAACAGAGGATATGTGTCGATTGCAAGCAAGACAATTAGGGCAGAAGACGATCAGAGAGCAACCGATCGACAACTATGTAAGACCGAAGGGTATAAGTCAAGTTGCCTAATGAAACGACCTGGAAGTCTGGAGAAGTGACTCTACCGGATGGCAGAATAGCTACTCGGTACAAAGATCATGTCTGTAATAGCTCGATTTCGATTCCGTTAGATGGCTTATCCTCAAGCCAGCTACTGAGGCAAACAGAAAAAGCAAAACTCCGATCAACCAGGGGTTCGACAAGGTGGCCAGTCAGTTCAGCTAAGGCAATATGTCTATCGATAACAGGCTAGCTGGAGTGAATACAACCAGAGAAAGGGGGAAAGTAGTATCATCGTGCTCACTATCGTTATGTACTTCCTATTGACTAGATAAAACTGCAAGTGCATGCCCGTCTAACGCTCAACCACCTATCGATGGAGCTAATCAAAAAAATACATGATAGATGCGTTGTACAACACACCGATTAGAGTAGTGTTTGGTTACCATTTGCCTGACGTGCTTTGATTTGCATCACTGCGGCTACGAGTTAGATAATAAGTGTTAGTTCCGCACTTGCTAGAACGCAATAGGTGTCACCATTTCAGATTTTTAAAGAACTATCCGTGTTGAAAGCATGGCAATACACCAGCATGAACCGCCAAGGGGCAGAATTGAGCACTGCATGTTGCGGGAACATATGTAAAATAAGGTACAAAAGTGGAGCAGTCGAAAAGCAACCTAGCCCCATCGTGGTTGGCGAGAGATGGAGTACGAGAATTGTGATCGAAAGACCAAGCTTCACTTCAATGGGAATCGCGGTCAAAATTGAGATTGCGCGTCGCAATACGTCCACACAACGTGTAATTCAAAATGACCCTCAACATCGTTCATCATACCGTTGTGCCAAGCGTTGCCCGTGACCCAGTGACTTAGGGGTAGCGGTCACAACTAACATCCCGATGGTCCCGGGTTCGATGCCTGCTAACTATCTGATGAGATGTAATAACATCGAAACGCGTCATAGTAATGCAGTGTTTTCGGGCGGGCAACACCCAATTTCTATTTGCAGCGTAGGGCATATTAAGGTAAGGAAAAAGATGAAAGCAGATAGATTATGACCGAGGAAAGTAGCGATATTAGACGACAAAATAATGTGAAACAAGTAGCTGCGTGCAAATCGAAAGTTACCCCCAAGTTTTTCGAAAGCATATAAGTGGTAGAAGCGAGTACACAACCCTCTATATAGTAAGGTAACATCCTGAAGATGAGCATATAATCATGTCCAGATGTCATAACTACTCACAATTATTTCGACGAACAGAAGGTTTGCGATTCTCGCGTTCAATCTTCATAGTCTCTCCATCTGTATCGTCTACATACGCTTTGCCATTTTGAATGAGCTGCTCACACAAACGAAGTATCAAATCGAAATGGTCAGATGTATGGGAACGCACATCCCATCGGACGCCCAGGCGAGGTAAGTCAGATAGGATAGATTCCTCATAAAAGGCTTTCTCTTTGGAAGGATTAGTGTCATCAAATCGGAGAATCAATCGGCCTTCGAAAAGGTCCTAGATTTTCGGTAAGAGATGAAAAGCACGAAGTTTGAGAGATTAAGCAACATGATATCAATGGGTCAAAGGAGGCTGGGCAGTATGGCTAGTCAGTATATGCATGGTTTTAAAAATGGAAAGGTAAAACCAAAACTAGTAAAAATTCAAACAACTAAGAGTATCGATTGAATATTATTATTATCACTATTATTATCATGTAAATAAAGATTATATCTAAATGGAATAAATCAAAATAGATAGCAAGTGACCCAAAAGGTGAAGACGGAAAAGGTTGATAGAGTGATTCAATGATAATCATTTAAAGTACAGTAAACCCCACGAATTTGACCACCTTTATATCCTGACAACCACTCTAAGCTGACCGTATTATTTTTCATCGCTTGAACGTTCATAATGCAAATCTTCCGGATCCAGACCTCTGTATGTTTACCACTTTAGGTCCAGCCCCTGGAGATTATACTATACATGTGACGTGTACAGAGTCCACTGGTGGAAAATTCAGAAATAAGGAGGAGGAAAGGAGGCCATGTGAAACCGGCGTAAAATGGCGCCACTAGTGTACTCGTGCTGTATAATGATGTTTTGCTGTCATGCAGCAATTGTAGATTGTACGTGAGCTGAGATAAAGCAGGGACTTCTAAATCCAGACAGAAGCAAGGCGTAAAACGCGAAAATCAGAGATTGGAGACAATAAGCTTGAATAACTACACCACAACGGCAATGAAATCAAGTCAGAAATTGACCTAGGATATGGTGCTTGGTGTACTAAATGGGAACGCGGTGAAAGCTTTCGTGAAAACTGATGGCGTATCTACAGGCAGCGGTGCTGGATCGTCATACTCCACTAAAGAGCTGAGCATATTGTAATTTGTGGGATTTGCATACCAGTCTCACGTCACTGAAGTAGAAATCCAATGAGTGAAGAGACCAAAAATCATTGGTAACCCCGTGGACAACTTGGGAGTAGGTGTAAACGGTCATCCTGGTCGTTGAAACACGGCAAAATAAAAATAAGGTGTACATAATACAAGAAATGCAATTGGACTACGTGAAGACTACGGAAGTATAGTTTAACGCGAACTGAGTGTTAAGATCGCATGTGAAACGAGCGTCGGGGTGGGGTGGGCCAGATTTGTAAACCTTAAGCTTCCATAAGAAAAAACAAGACAGCTTGGACGGAACAAAGGAGAGAAAAAACCAAGCATAGACTAAAAAAGACTAAACCGTCAGACTGAAGGGGTAGCAATTGGTAGCGGTAGAACAAATGTGGGTGTGCCGCGTGCACCATGTTCACATTGTCGCCACCTGTCTATTACGAAATATCGCTGGATCTTGAGAGCTCGGAAAGCATCCGTGCATGTTTCCCGACTGCGCCGCGAGATAAACTACAACAGTTGACAGTAGGTGAGCCATGGCAAGTTGGTGCCATTTTGCCTATGGGTTGCCAACCTCCGGCTAGCAATAGTACACCGCCGAGCAACATAAATGTCCTCCCACCATCAAGGAACTCATTACGCGGGTGCACTGTATCTGCTGAACCGTGCTTTTAGTTTGCAAACTGTAGTCCAATATGACAATGTGAAGAGGGAAATTAATGGATCTAACCCCAACACTAAGGGAACATAGCTGACACAGAAACGGAGTTTGTCTGACAAGACAGGCTATCGATCTGTTTGGTCTCAGTGATTTGGAAGGCAATAGGAAGGTACCAACCACAGTAACTTAGTGGCGTACGGGAGGACGCAAACAACTGCACTACGTTAGGATCCAGTCTCATCATGATGGTACACCCAATCTGAGCGTGAATTGAGGAAAGAGTCGTTCAAAATCACTTAGATTGTATAGAAAGGGGACGGTGGGCAATTGAAAGCGAACAGCTCCGTGGTATGTTTACGGCGTTAAGAAACTGCACAGAGGAGCGACACAAAAGAATTTGATAAAATAAGGATATAACCAAAGCGTTATGCAGCAGAGCAGAAGCTAACCTAAATAGCAATGATTCGGTTAATTGTAAAATCAAGTAGCATTAAGTGAGATATTGGTGCGCAGTTCAGAAACAAATGCAATGAGGCAAAGGCCCCGTTGTTGAGACCACGACAATGTGTGATAGCGCAATGAAATGTACTAGTAGTTACCTTCCAACGGATAGCCAGGTTATTGTTTTTAAACCCCATTTTGTTATACAACGTCACATTATTTCAGTGCCAGTTTATTTCACAGAACTAGGCTAATGCGTAGAAAGTGAAGTGCCGCATGCGACACATCCAACTTCATTGTGTGCTGACTGCTTGCAGACTACTTGAAAAATGACAATGAATGTCTCCAAGTTAAACTTAGTTCTGTTCCGCATCGCATACAAGAAACGGTGACCACACCAACCGAAAGCGATCTGCAACAGTCCTTCAATGGAGATGAGCGGTGACGAAGATGGTCTAGTGCCTCGTTTTGTTAAGCATCCACCGCGTTGGGACTGGTAATATGAAAGATCAGTGTGAAACTTGTTGATGCGGGGAGCGGCATCGAAAAAGACCGATTGAAACGCCCGGATTTTGAGCAATTATGCCAGGAAATGCATCCTTTTTTGTCAACTGGACATAATTCTAACCAAGTGCATCGAACAAAATGGATCAACTATCCACTGCATTGGACGGTAACAGCCCACTTTCTCTTGTGCCACTACCATCCACTAACGAGTTCTGTCAAGCCTAAAACTCCTAATGATGCTCCGTGTAACCCGTAACACTGAAAAATGGAAAACGAAGAGTCGAAACCACTTACTCTGTAGTGCTGATTCAGCAATGCAGCTTTGGCGTGTCCAATATGGAGATAACCACTAGCTTCTGGAGGGAAGCGGACAACAACTTGTCCTACTTTGGCCCCAGGTAAGTGACCGAATTTTCCCCCCGTCTCGAAGCGCATTTCCGCTGCAGATGTACCGGAGGTAGGGATGTCTATATGATGAACTACTTCTGTCGAAAGATTCCTCGATTTCCAGTCTCGTATAGACCGTCCCCACTTTCTACTGAACTCGAGAGAAGAAACGTGATTGTAGTAGCGAAGTAGGTGACAGAAATCGGACTCGACGCCAAGTGGGTCGGTTTGTTTTGAAGACAAAAGGCTCTGACAAGTGGAGCTAGCTGTTGGAAGGAAGAAAGTCAGAAACAATAAACAGTCTGCACTCATAATAATATAGTTGCAAACAGAAGCGCAGAGTATTTATATGATAAATGACCTAATGAAGGGAGGGTAGGGCAATTACTATGAATGACATCTCGCTGAAGCAACAATTTTCGGTTTACAGCACCTTTGTTACAAGTTACCATTCTGAAACGCAAGTTGTCTGCCTAACATCTGTCCAAAATCGCCTGGTGGTCACGGCAAGTTAGGTGATGCCAACGGAGACCCCAACCGTTATGCAGGTGGGATCATATACAGCCAGCAAGAGATCTCACAGCCATTAGGAGTTAAAAGTAACGGAAGAATAAATGGTAAGAGGTACGTTTCATTAACATAAATAAAAAGTGACAGGACACAAATTGTGAGATTTTAACACTTTAACTGCTCTTTTCGGATGAAACGCAATACATGCACGAGAAACACACCAACGGAACACATTGGAATCCTAAATAATATAACGGGTCACCTATACACCGTAACCACGCTTCGCTGCCGTGCGACCACTACCAGTCGCACGCGGGTTGAGTATACCGCGAGGACGTCCACTTCTACGCGGATTCGAACGCGCGCCGCAAGATTACGAGGCAGCTACGGAACCCTAGCAACACAAATAAGCTTCAATTGGGACTGGTGGATAGATTGTGCAATCAGGACCAAAGCAACTTTACAGCTATCATCAGTTGTTGTTATGCCTACGGGACAATTCGTCATTATCATCATTGATGGTCAGAAATTTGCGAATCTGGCCACAGTCGACCTGGTTTCGAGTTTTTATAAGGTGCTTAGTGATGGACGAAAAAGGTACTAGTTCTTCACTTGGTCCACTCTATCTTGTTGCCAAAGTGGCCGCTGTAACCACTGGGTAGTGTTCAGTCATCTTTGGTACCAGTCGACAGTTAGTTCTGCATATGAGAGACACTGCAAACGCAAGTGGGGCCAAAGTGCCTGGCGCATTGCTCTGATGGTTCTGAAAGGAAGCACTTCGCGTATAACCCCAGTATGGTCGCGTGGGTGCGCGATACAGTAGACCTGGTCTAGCGTCCAATGCCGTTCGCAACCTAACGCCTTTGAACAAGAGGATCAGAAAACATCCTCCCGCTTTGTCGCTAGCAATGGGAGCCTCTCCTTGAGGTCTGTTGTGAAGTTGGGTGAATTTCTCTGGGTACCCGTTGGACAGCAGTCCGGCGTAAAAATGCTGATACGACCTTTGTGGCTCTGGATTGCAAGCTCCCCTGGCCTTGTACAACAGTGTCTTCACGTTCAGTTCCGTTTAACTATGGTCCGCGCACTGAAATGCAGTGGATATAGTTGCCAAGACTCACGTCGCCAAAATAACCATAAATAAATGAAATTGAACGCAAATAGAATCCAAAGAAAATAGAGCCGAGAAAAAATGCGTTAAACTAATCGGGATGCAATGAAAGTTAACAGATAGGTGCAAGAGCGCCACTGACTGCGTCATATCTGATAGAGTTCCCAACCCCTGAGGTGGACAATCCCAAGGCCCTCATTCACGAAGACGGCATACATCAGCCTGATCAAGTTCTTCGGTCAATTTCGGCATGCCTTTTCCCCATGATTGACTGACCACCTCGCGGTTTCGCCCAATTTGGTGAAGCGACGTATGATGTGCGCTGAGGAAACCGGTCAACGGATATATGGAGGACATGAATAAACCAAAGTAAGCAGCCCAAGTTCGACAGACAATCTAGTGAGGAACCAGGTTTCCTGCCAAAAACCAACCGGCGGACCTCTGGGTTGCTCAGCAGGTGTTTTCATCAGATGTGAGCAATATTCTGTAAGCAAGGGTGATCAAACACGGCCAGGCCTTTAATGTCTTCACTGTGAACTGGAAAGAAATAAGTTTTATTCTCGACGATGCAAGACACGGCACGCATAGGTCGACCAGATGTGGATCAGGAAACTTGTATAACAGAGCAGATAATAACGATTGGAAAAACAACGAAGAGATAACAAATAATTAACTGAATTGTAATGATGTAGACTGGCTTTTAATCGCTCTCTCACATAGAAAACAGCTAAACCACGGGAGATGGTATGATGGTGAAACGCGCTGGGTCATATGAAACCTAGACCCTGCTCGAACGCTTAACTTGTTGTTATGGAACAGTCAAACAGTTTGATCACGTTCTGTACAGACAAGAACTTGATAATGTCTTCATGAAATTCGTGCTCAAAAGTGCAGACACGTATTCCGGGTGGCACCTTGTTTCAGACTCGGGCGTACCTGTTGAGTAAAACGTTCACTGACCGCTGGTCCTAGAGTTGTATTCCGAAAAAAAGTTCGGTTCGTTTCGTGTGTTATAGACTGCTGATTGCATTAATACTATCTAGAGGTTGGAAACATGTAGATTCCTGTGCAAGATGCTAATATATATATATATATATATATATATATATATATATATATATATATATATATATATATATATATATATATATAGGTTAGCGGCATCCGATTCCGGACTTATCCGTCACTGTGGCCAGTCACAGGATGCTTGCGCTTACAGAGGAATCATGGGTGGCTTGCGTTGCACCACCCACAGCTCCAACCATACACCCCATATACAGTGTAAACCCGAAGGAATAAGACCGGGAGGCATGTGGATGGGAGCCACGTTCCATCAATGGAGCCGGCCCACACTCCTTCACAGGCAAACACAAGCACGCTGTAGTTTGGAATCAAGAGGACACAAGGCGGTGGCTGGATCGTAGTCCGCTCCACACTGAGTGCATGGAACCACTCTTCGGGACTAACACGGCCACATGGACCGTGCACCCCGTCCCCTCCAGCAACGACCAACTGCCTCCTGGAGCCAGTATGGACGAGGTAGTGGGTAACAGACAGGTAGGCAAGTTGTCAACACGCACATCAAGCGCAGCCACAAGGGGGGATTGAGGAAACAGCCAGTCATTTGAAACGAAAATATCAAATAAAATAAATCGAATGATGCATACAGATATGCCGACATAGCTCATTAATAAATGAGCATATGAAATAAATTGGTTGCTAAAAGACTCCGCTATAGTTTCAAGACGTCAGAAAATATATTTTAAGAAAATGTCAAAGCTAACTACAATTAACTTGACCGAAGGTGCAAGTTAATAGAAGCCAGTTCATGCAAGCAATAATGAGACAAATAAAGTGACCCGGCATGAAAGTAAGTGCCTAGTAAATCGAATGCGACGTACCTACCAATGCCGTGCCGGTTCTGCCTCCGTTCTCAGCAGGAAACGTCGTCGCTCCGGTGGTTGCCCGGAGTGGCCTCGCTTATGGCTCAGCAGGCCTGCCTGACTCAGGCACTCGCGACCGCATGTGCTACAGCACCATACGCTCGATGTCGATCGGCGCCAGCCGCTTCCGCACTTGTCGCTTCTTTTCTGCATGCATGAGGTCTTTCTACTACACCTCGGCAACTGCCTTCGTGATCAGTTCGCACCATGCACGCCGATCAACCGCCTTCGATTCCCATAACCTGCAATCAAGATTAGAAAGTGACAGGATCACTTTGATCATGGCCTGGTAATGAAGCTTCGGTTTTCCCAAATGCCGCTTCCCAATACTCAGCTGACCATATAATAGTTGTTTGGGTATCCGCGTCGGATCCGTATGGTTCACATGATCGAGCCACATCAGGTGTCGCAACAAAAGTAGTCAGTCCACTGAATACATTCCACTTCGACGCAACACTTCCGTGTGCGCAACTCTGTGGCCTCAACCGATGCGTAAAATCAGTCGCAAACACTGCTGATGGAACCGCTTGAGATATCTCATCTCCCCACGAACACCGTAAGCACAAGCCGCATCAAAAGCACAAGACATCATGGCATGAAGATAAATATTAAACAGGGCAGGAGCTAAGACACAGCCTTGCTTCACACCAGTGATAACTGCAAAGTCAGCCGATGTCTCTCCACTCAGCTGCACCCTCGCCCGCATACCACTGTGCAGACATTCAATTAAACTTACAATGCCTCGCGGTTCACCGTATCAAATACCTTGGTGAAATCAACAAAAAGCGAGTACAGCGGCTGGTGTCACGATGATTCGTGGCACATTGCTTGCTACCTTTGCCCTTGTACAGTGGTAGCACAGGGAAATGCCTCAGCTCAGGAGGCACCTCCTCAATCCACACGCCATGCACCGAGTGGTGCAGCGTAGTCACCAGCGCAAGTTCGCCGTCAGGCGAGATCTCGTCGACACGGGCACACGCCGTTTCGCAGCTGAGCAAGTGCTCTCTGCGTCTCATCCCGTGTAGGCGTATCCGCCAGATCCGCCTTCACATCGTGCTGCTTCAGGCCGTTCAATGTAGGCCAGTCGATCTCTGAACGGTTGTTCAAGAGATAGTCAAAGTGTTTTTGTCTGCAGTCGGTGTGCAGGTAGCGCCTGAATTACCGTCGATCAGCATCCTCAGCTTCTCCAATCTCGGTCCACACACTGCATTCAAGAAATCAAAGAATTCAAATTCAAAGAATTCAAAGCATTGCATCTACTTCACCTTCTCCGTTCACCATGCGTTTTTAATGCGACGAAAGTCTCGGGTCAGTCGCCGTCGAAGTTTGCGAAACTGACTACTCTTCCCCAAGTCACTGGGGTCTGCCACATGTGCAGCAACTACTACGTTCTTCTCCGACACCAGTGCGCCAATCGTCGCATTGCTCGCATCAAACCAGTCAGGCCGATTACAGTTTGCGCGCCCGATGATCTCCTCGGCATCAACTGTCACCTATTCGCGAGTGTGGTGCAACAGGTCGCCCACTGTGGCTATGCAGTCCACATCACACACGCGTGCATTCATCGCTTTCTCCACCACAATACTTTCCGACACGGTACCGAAGGCGAGAATGTTAAATTTACGCCGATTCACGGCGAGAGTGCAATGCATAGATTTACGAAAATATATGTACAGTTTGCTCCGCAACAATCTGTGTTCAGTGCCACACTCAGCTTCAC